TTAAAATCCAGTTTCTAGCAACAATGCTAAACTTTCCACTGAATAACATTTTATTTAGCCAAAAAGAATATTTCCTTTAGTTGTTTTTGAAAAAAACATATTAAAGAGTGTTTTTCATGTTTATGTGTCCCAGCATACAGTTATCCCAAGAATGACTGAATTGGCTCTTGTGTGGGTTTATACTTAAGGAAATGAGATTGTTTCTTAGGACTATCTTAGATGACTTAGCTCAAGTAGAATTTTGGCTACTAACCCTAGTAGATCCAGCTTGTAGAATATAGGTACACTTTTTTTTGCCATTTGTGTTGTATATAGTTGTATGTGTACACTGAAACTTTAATGATTAAATAAACAAATAATATAGATTTGGGAAGGAGATACTTACAGAGAGAAAATTTCTAAAAAGAATATATCAATTGAAAGAGGTTAGAAAGCCTCTTTCTAGGAAAGAAACTGTTTCCTACAAATTCCAAGTGTTTTCTGGGAAAGAAGTCCAGGCAAATAACCAGGGAGAATAATTTTTATTTAGTGATAATTTGCACAATTGCATTTTCAGATGATTCTGTATCTTTTTTTAAAGCACACTTTTCACTTTAAGAGAGTTGGGGCTGGTGGGATTACAGACAACATAGAGTATATGACTGCCTATTATGTGATGCTGGTGGGATTGTATATGTTAGTGCTTATGGTTGTGACAGGCTAGACCATTCAGGTGAGTAGGTCAACAATACACATTTGAATGGTTAACTCTTATAAATAGCTGCTCTTATGTTTTTCTTCCTCCCTCCCTCCCTCCCTCCCTCCCTCCCTCCCTCCCTTCCTTTCTTCCTTCCTTCCTTTATTTCTTTGTTTTCCTCTACTTACAATATTCTTGAAGTATATTTGATACAATATGTGGGTTTCCTTTAGCTTTTGGAATTTGTAATTCTTTGTCATTTTTCTCTGTGCTCATCCCGACTAGTAATCTGTCTCTTTCCATTCCACACCTGGGGAAAATGAGTTCTTGATTGGTGAACAGACTTGTTCACAAGGAACAATAAGTCAGTAGCAGAGTAGCGCTGAGAACACACAGCCTGAAATCTCTTTGTCCAGTGTTCCTGATAGCATGCCAGGCTCCCAGCCTTAATTTGGCTATTAAGATACATAATGTTTTACTTATTCTTGACACTTGTCCAAAACAAAAATATTGAGTATGACCTTTGATGTAGAAATATAACCCATGTAGGCATATTCTATAAAGCAGTGTGGTCCCTCTAAGCATAGTTATGCATGAATGTCCATCTGTGCAACCAAATCGAAGGAAAGCAAACAGGGCACAGCAAAGCAAGCTGAGGTTATGACTTAGCTCCAGGTGAGCAGGTGTTGGCAACATACCAAACTACATCGATCTTCTGTTCCAATAGGTGGGGACCATTACCGGTGAGTCCAGAGTGCATATTTCTTATAATAGAGATGCAACCACACACTTTCTGTTAACCTTTAACGACTGTTTCCTAGCAGTATTTCAGACCATTTTGAGGCACGTTCACCTTGTGGGTTTTCATACTCTTAGTCATGTAAGAGCTTAGAAGCTAAAGAACTGAGAGCGTTCATGTCAGCAGTGTGGAAGGCTGTAGAGGTGAATGTTTCTTCTCCCCACCCCCTTTTATTCTGTAAGGAACAGTATTGTGTGTGAATATGTCCATCGAAGAAAATAAGTTCTGAGTAGTCTGTGTTCTGTGCTACTGTCATTTTCTCTTATGACATGTACAATGCTGGAGTAATTCCAATGGCTGAGCTTGTTACAGTCCCAGGAGAGTACTGAGACAGTCATTGTCCCTCACATGATAGAAAAGGTTTTTAGCTTTATGTTCATCTTTCCTCCCAAAACTTACTAGGCTCCTTGACTAGTTGAAATAATTTCAAAGTGTTTCTTGGAATGAGACTCATATGGAGAGAACAGTTCCTTTTCTCCTAGGTTTTGTAATAGAATGCCATGTAACTGTCATTAATACGCCCTCGACTTGGGGATAGGAGTAGAGTTGAGAATGAGTCTTACCGCACCCTCAGGAATCATTGAGGAAGAGGGGGGCAGAAAGATCCTAAGGGCTAGAGGAACAGAAAGTTTGCTTACATCTCCTATAAATGACAGAGAAGTCATACCTATATAATCTCATCAATCTTGAGTTCCAGAATTCATAGCTGTGCAAGCTATTCCCAGGTTTGTCAAGTGTTAGCTATGCAACTTTGCAAGGGAACTAAACTCTCTGACCCTCAGTTTCCTCATCTATGGGTTGGAGATAAAGATAAAGAGATGGAAGGAAAGAAAGAAACTGGCATTCATAGCTATTTAGTTATTGTCAGCTAATTAAAATGAAATTTAGTAGGACTCACTCACTTAAAAATTGCTTTTATTTTATGTGTATGAGTATTTGTCTACAGATATGCCTATGTACTCTGTATGAGTACTTGTCTACAGATACGCCTATGTACTCTGTATGAGTATTTGTCTACAGATATGCCTATGTACTCTGTGTGTGACTGTGCCTGTCACACACTGGATCCCTAGAATTACTGTCATTGCAGAAGCTTGTGAGCTGGCATGTGGGTTCTGGGAACAGAACAAAAGTCCTCTGGAAGAGCAGTTGTGCCCTGAAATGTTAATCATCTCTTCACCCTGGCTTTGGCTACTTCTTACTTATAATGTTGTGTTCAAGGATGTTTGTGTAAAACCCCCGCCCCCAGTGAGAAAGTTATAGACTGCCAAAACTCTATTTTCCCATTTGCAAAATGAATTAATTGCTTAATTTGACTGGCATATGTACAGAGAGACTACAATGCACTGGGCAGTTTTGTAAGCTGTGAGGATATTAGAGGAGTTAAGATAATGGCTCTATTGAAGCTCACATTGAAGTGACAGAAACAGAACATAAACAAAAAGGCTAGAATAAATGCATGTATCAGAACAAAACAACGAAACATAGAAGGTAGGAATTTTCTGAAAATGAGGTCTGAGATCTTAGGCATGGAGAAGAGATTTCCTGAGGAAGTGACATTTGAGATGAAAGAAGAATTTTTATGGAATATAGGGAGAGGGAAAAAAGTTCTCTGGGGTGGGGTCTACTTTTTTTCTTTTATAGGATATTTTCTTTATTTATATTTCAAATTTATCCCCTTTCCAGGTCTTTCCTCTGGAAGCCCCCATCCCATCCCCCAACCCCATGCCTCTATGAGTGTGGTCTTCTACCCACCTACCTGCTTGCGCCTTCTGGCTCTGACATTCCCCTACACTGGGGCATCGAACCCCCACAGGACCAAGGGCCACTCCTCCCCCTGATGTCCAACAAGGCAATCCTCTGCCACATATGCAGCCGGAGCCATGGGTCCTTCCATGTTTATCTTTGGTTGGGATCTATTTTTGATGTTCAAGAGAAATAGCATGACTGTGAGCAAGTGGGCAGTGAGCTGTGGGTATGCATCACACTGAGTTTTGAAAGATGCTGAAGCCAGATCATGTATGTATGGGCTGATAAGCTATGATATACACTTTGGGGTTTATTGTGAGTGGCTCCTGTCATGGTTGAGTATTTTCTTCCAGAATGTTCGCCAAGGCATCTTAAGGCTCAGGTTGAGTTTCATGGTTCTCTTATCTGGATTAATGAACTTAGAGACTTTGCTTGGTAAGATTCAATTTGAAAAGGCACAGCCGGACTTATAGGCTACTAGAGCTGGAAGCTAACACAGAGAAGTTCTCTTATAATCTCTCCAATTCTTTAGAAGTGAATGATGATGTCTGGAAGGAAAGGGTGACTTGGAGAAGCAGTTGGGCTCCACCCCTAAATCCTCTAACTGACCATGTAGTGGAAGAAATGGGATGCAAGCCTTAAAGATTATTCTGCACAGGGTGCTAACAGAGCCAACTCAGTTAAGTGAAGTGAGGGGCAATGAAGAGAGGCACATAAGGGCTTCTGCAGGTCTACATGAAAGGAACTCCCAGTGATTAGAAATTTAATTTTCTCTCAATGGCTGCTAGGATTACTTAGCCTAGAATCCCTGAGTAAGCCTTAAAGTCTTAAATTCCTAGTTTCAAGATTCCTAGACTCTGGAGTTAGGGAGATGCTCAACCACTTCAAATGCTTGCTGCACGGGCATGTATACCTGAGTTTAGATCCTTGGCACCCATGTAAAGGCCAGTTTCAGTCTGTAAGCCAAGCCCAGGGCAGAGACAGGTGGATCCCAAATGTTTTCTTGCTGGCCAACTTAACTGACTTGGGGAGCATCTAGATTAGAGACAGACTCCAAAGAAACAAGGTACAGAGTGATAGAGGGGGCTATAAAATATCAACCTCTGGCCTCCACATGCATGCATGTGGAGCCTGCACTCACACAGAGAGAGAGATAGGTAGGTAAGAAGCTAGGTAGGTAGGTAGGTGGATACATACATACATACATACATATATACATACATACATAGAAAGAGTTTAATTCCTGGACTCCTTAGAAAGCGGTTTTTTTTTTAATCTGCTGCACACATTTTTCTATTTCTGGGCAGAGAATAAGGATTTTCTAGATTCTCAAATACCCAAGTAAATTTGTATTGTTTGTAAAACAAAACAACCTGAAAAACACTGTTAGGCCATTACTATTTTGTTTCTAGCGATATAGTTACCTATTTTCACTAGCTAGTGTCTTAAGGCAGACCACAGAAAGAAACCATGTTTCTAGGAAAAGGAAGGGAAACAACTAAGCGGGTGAAGACATAGAGTGAAGGAAAGTAGCCGCTTGTTTTTGCACCAGATCATCAGTGCAGCGTAGTTTTTCTGCAGCACTCAGCAAACCATGCCTCCCACCTCCAACCTCAGTGTGCTAGTAGTTTTTTGATATACTATTAGTTATTCAATAGTTCTACAAAATGAAAATTCCAATTAGTAGGAGGCAATACTTACTTGGTGTTTTCTTTCTGTAACAGACCTTTATTTTTCTGGGTTACCTTCCTGCCTAACATCTCATTTTCCTTGCAGGATCCTGTGGGCACTGAAATCCAACGTACTCATGCCCATTTCCTGTAATGGACAAACTTGATGCTAATGTGAGGTATGCTGAATTTCTCGATCCTTTGTGTTGCTGGACATGGGAGTTTGTGACAAACAGCCTCTGCAAATCTGTCGTAGTGGAATTGCGAAGCTAAAATGGATTTTTTTCTAGCAGTTGCATATATAACCATGACTGTGGTATACTGCTTGGTTATTAGTGCTTTATTACTATGCTTAAATGATAAAAAAACCCAGCTGTTAATGTTTCTATCTGTATGAACCAATAGATCCCACTTAAAGACACATATTCATTTCTGCAATAATAAAAGTTATGCATTTGAACAGAAGCAATGAGATTGAAGATTATCTATCCGTATCTAAACTTCAGATGTAAATCCCAAGTAGATTTGTCTAGAAGGTCCTAGTTTGCCCACTTTTGTTTTCAGCCAAAGCATCAGATCATGGTCATAGGATACCAGATGTTCGTGTACTGAGTGGAGTTATGTTAACCTACATAGTTGTTGTTCTTGTAATTTTCTGTAAACCTTGGGAATGGGAGGTTTTACCTAGAGGCTTGCTTTGATTTATCTGGTCTTACCAAACAGTGCAAAAAAAAGTTGTGTTCAAGGAAGTTAAGTCGTCTGCCTTTGTAATCCATAACAGGATTATCCACAAGTAACTGTAGTTGGAAGACATCTTAAAGTCACATGCTCTGTGAAATCATAGGAAACTTTTTTTTTCACTTGAAACCTGTGGAAAGTATGTTCTACATATTAATCATGGGTCTGTGTTATGGTTTGATGTGGCAAAAACTATCACAGCTGGCTTGACAGGAGCTCTAGCTTGGTCTAATTTGAGTGGCAAAGTTGTGCTATCACCCCACCAGACGTGTTTCCAGTACAATGCAGAATCCCTGGCATGTGATGAGTTTTCAATAAAGAGTTGTTGATAAGGTAGCCATCGATGTACAACGAATATTTCAAATAGCATTGCATTCTAGTACACTAGATACAAAAGGGCATTATCTATCAATAAAATATTTTACACTCTTAATAGAAGACATTGTAGATTTTGTTACTTACTCAATAGTAAATTACTTGGTGTAGTTGTTAACATTCCACATAGATTTGAAAACCTATTGACATGTGTTTTACTCTCCTCTCAAAGCTTGTAAGATTATTTCTGCAGAGAAAACATTGTGGAATTGGGAAATTTGGCTTTCATTTTGTTAACCAGAAAACCAAAGTGAGCAATTCTGATGGTTCAACGTTGCTTAATAGTCTTTAAATTATAAAGATTGGATCAAACGGGTTCAGCTGGTTAAAATGCACCTCTGGGGGTGATAATTTAGACATTATGATCCCTTACATTGCTAGCTTTTAGACACTTATTTATAGGAGTCTTAGCTTTCAATGATGGAATACGATTCGATTACGTGATCATCAGCTGTTCTCCTGGGATACTGTGGAAAACTGGTGTGGGATTCAAGATGATATCACCCCCAGAATGTTGTCTGTGGACCATTCTGTCAGTCCGTTTTCTAACTGGATCCTATCAACATATGTTCATCCTTACCCACTCCCCCTCTCTATCCACAATATTAGTAACAGGCAAATGTCATGGACTTTCTATTCATTTCCTCCTCAGTACAGCCTCTGAGTGTCCGTAACAACAAAAAAAGGATGTCTTGGCTCACATTTGCCAAATTGTGCTGCATTTGTAGTTAGTAATTCATAACAAATTTAGGTGGTATACCAGCAACTTTTTATTATCATGAGGAGTAATTCTATTTTATCACATATTAAGTGAAGTAAACTTTCTTTTTATATAAATATAATCAGATTTGAAAGTGAGTTTATATAAAGAAAAATGAAATCCAGAAATACATATTCATAAGTTCTATACTCATGATGAAGTTCTAGATATTCCAGGTATAGCTAGATAGCATAAATTTTACCATTTTGAAAAAGAGACTAGAGGGTCTTCTTTTCAGTTTCAGTTGCTGTCTTCATATGGAAGCCAAACACATAATGAGGCAGGAACTGAAAGCTCTAGGTTCTTTGCCCAGGGGAGAGATTCTTTTAATTGTTCTGTAGGTAGAGGGAAGACAGAAAGTCAGAAGAGAAAGATCATTAGGAGAGGAAGTAACTTGGCTTAGATAAGAAGGGACTTAAGCTGTTAGCAGGTATAACAGACATTAAGATTAGTTATATATACGCATATATATGTTTATGTTGTGGATATGTATATGCTCACTAATGACACACACACGCACACGCACACGCACACGCACACGCACACGCACACGCACACACCACAGTGCTGACCTCTTCATTCAATGACATTTTAACTTGCTGTAGATTGGGTGTTGAATGTTTGCATTGTTGGACGCAGGAAATCATCATGAACTATAATGTTGATTTGCATCACTCCATTTAATACTTAAGCAATCCTAAGGACTATCCCTGTTAATCTATGCTCAGGGTCATAAACTTTTATGTCTTCTACTATCCTATAACTATTTTGTCAATGAGACTATGGTATGTGTGAGTGTGTGTGTGTGTGTGTGTGTGTGTGTGTATGAATTTAAAGAGATACAGTACATGATATTTCTGTCTGGGTAAAGACAGAAATATGGTTTGGAAAAAATTAATATTTAGTAATAGACACCCAGAAGGAAGAGAGTAGTGTGAGACGATAAACATATTGGGGGAAATTTCAGAAATAATTTTTCACTTTCATGGGCTGTAAGATTGAGGAACTCTAATCAACTCTCCCAAAACAAGAAGAGAAAAAAAAGTCTTTGATTGAATTTGGAGCTATAATAAAATGTCTTACAGAGTTTGTCAAACTATATTGACCATTTCAGCTTTTGTTTATGTATCTTCACTGAATTTGCTTCTATGGCTTGGTCCTTATGATTCTCTATCTGCCAGAGTTCCTGGCTAGACACATCAGGAGCTAATCCCGGCAAACATAATCAGAAGTAATTTGGGACCAGCTATTGTGAAGCTTAAAAAGTTAAGACCAAAATGTTAGAAGGGCACATTTAAAAATAGATAAAGATGCCAGGAATGGTAGAAGAACCCTGATAGTGAGGTACACAGCGGGACATGTTCTTCGTGCAGTATAAGAAGAATAAGAAAAGGAACATGGGACCTTGCTTGTAGAGCTACAAACTGCAATGCAAACACTTTCTCCTACACTGAGAACAAGGATGGTAGAGTGGCCCAAGTCATGATAAAGCATCACAGTGAATCTGGACCTATTTGGGAAGTGAGCTCAGATAAGTTCTTTCTATAACTAGTGTCTCACAAGTTTCACAGTGAGCTAATAGGCTGACAGATTCTTCTCAACAATCTGACACTCACAGAATTCTAGGAGTTTTGGCCCCTATGTTTCTTTTGGGGACTCTGGAGTAGACAGTTATGTTCTTTTCTGGGGAGGGATAGAGGAAAAGGAAGTAGTTGTCTCTAATTTTACAGCTGCTCTTCCCAGGTATCCTTACTGTTAGGGAATGTAACTCTGGTTCTCCATTCTCTGTAAGACAGGAAGCCACTCAAAGTATCTGTAAAGACTTGCCCCTTCACTTCAGAGACTACCTGATATAGGCTTATATTTTTCAAAACCTACTTTATTTAAGGTTCTTAACCACTTCAAACTCCCTTTTAGCCCACTGACCAGAGTTAGAGGAAAAGAAGGTTAATAGGGAAAGGGAATTGTGGGCCTATTTAGATGTAGTTCCTTGGGGGCAATTTCCACTCTTCTTTGACAGGATACCAGCTGTCCAGTTCAACAGCAAATACCAAACACAAATCAGTAGAAGCAGCACGATCCAGCAGAAACAGTAAGGCATCACCTGACTTGGCACAAGTCAGTGGAAGTCTTCAAAATCAGCCGGAATACCATGAGAAGTTCTTTGCCACATGGTTTTCTCTCTATGAAGTGAAAGCCAACAAAGACCACCAAAGACCAACAAAGTGTTGCATGCTGTAGAATTGTGAGAGCATCCTCTCACTATTTGTGGGGTTCTATTTATATTTTTTCTAAAAATATAAATCATGCACCTTTTCATGTGTCTGTTTTCAGCAAAGCATCACATGGCCTCTCACAAGGCAGCTTCCAGAAAAACATCACATGACAAAACTGAGTTGTTAAAGAAACCAGAAATTTCCAACTTCAGCCTGAAATTACTGTTTGTATAACTGCATACACTTCCACTGATATATAGTTTTTCTTGCTTCAGGTTACCCAGAAAGGAAGCCACATCTGTATTTCTTTCTTCCTGTTGCTCATTACAGGCAAAAGGTGTCTGCTTTTGATGACTTTTTCCTGTGGATATTTAGTTCCAGAAAGTACAGGGTTCAGGGCAGCATTGAGTAGGTAGAAGAAATCCTTAAGATAATGACCCCAGACTGCTTAAAAGCAGCCTTCCTTTGTATTTAGCTTCCTTGTTTTGGAAGCTTCCTACCACCCTGGATTCATCTTTTTGCCTGCTGGGCTCTCTGAAGTTCCCTCTCTACTGCCCCTGAAGTCTCTGGTGTTTCTTCTTTCTTCAATAAGAGCATCCTCATCTGGGATGCTGTTTCTTCTCTGCAAAATGGCTCTGCATTCTCTTATTAATGTTTCATATCAGCAAGCAACAAAGCGTCTTATACAGTTAAAAGTAATAAATGGTATCAATCCCCTTCTTTTACTATGGTTCTAAAAACCTGAGAGCCAAATTTACACTCAATAAAAGCAAGGCTGGGTAGAGGTGTCTGGGCTCTAATGCACATTTGTTTTATCTCACAACTCCTTTGAGTCTTTTTGGCTTTATTTACTTTCTTGATAATGCATCCACATCTTCATAAGCTGATTTAAAAAAAAATGAGAAAGAAGACCAAAAGTTGAACACCTTAGAATAGAACACATAATCTCGATATAAAACATATCTTGCTTTATACCATGTATGACATTAATTAAACACTGTAGCAAAGGTAAGTGGTGAGTTTGGATTAGTTGCCCAGGTGCCATAATGTCCTGGTGTGCTCAGTTACAATTCGTTACTTTAAGACACTA